AAGTAAGCAAATCTGTTCAATTTGTACAGGAAATCACTTCTTCAAAGACTGTGACAACAAAGACACTGTCAAATGTGTAAACTGCAATGGCTCACATACAGCAGTTTCAACACTTTGTCCGCAAAAAGCTGCAAAAGTTGCTGAAGTAAAAGGGAAAATAAAAGGTAATGTAACTTATGCCACAGTTGCTGCAAAAGTTAAAACTACTTCCGATTTGTATTCTAATCAAATTCCAAACAAAAGGGCTTTATTTAGTGATGTAATTAACTCCGTTGACATATTGGGTGTTATGATTAAAACTGTAATAGATGTTGTTAAATTACATAATACGAAAGATACTAGTAGTCCAGATCCTATCTCTGCAAAATCTATAAAAGAGTTGTTGATTACCAATTTTGCTGCACATAAATAATGGATAGCACTATTGGTGTTGGACAATTAAATATACTACAATGGAATTCTCGTAGCATCTTACCCAAATTAGACCAACTCAAAAATTTTGTTTTTAGCAGTGATGTAGATATAGATTTGATCCTCCTCAATGAGACTTGGCTAAACCTTAATAAAATTTTTAGACTACCTGGTTTTAATATAGTGAGACGTGACTCTGACCATCCACATGGAGGAGTTGCAGTGGCAGTTAAGGACAAGTATAGTTTCTCCACTATTGCAACATCTTCAGATTATCATTTTCAAAACATATTAATCTCCCTCAAACTTCATTTATTTTCTGTAGACATATTATGTGTGTATATGCCTCCTCCTCCCAATGGGAAATTTAGAATTCAACAGTTATCAAGTGCATTGACGAAAATCGCTAACAGACATTATTTAGTTATAGGAGACTTTAATGCTCATCATACTTCATGGGGTTCTAGAAACAATGATCGCAGAGGTAATAGCTTACACTCACTAACAGAGACCCAAAACCTAGTTTGCTTAAATGACCACACCACCACTACTTTGGCTCCTTTTGGACAGCAAGGTAATGTCTTGGATTTGGTAATTGCTTCGCAGTCGATAAGTTCCAGTTGTTCATTGTCGGTTCTTGATGACCCTCTCAGTAGTAATCACTTCCCGCTTTTATTGAATGTTATTTACAACACCGGCTCCACGGGTGCTGTCACACGAACTCAACCCAATTATATATCGCCTCCGATAAATTCTTTATCTGAAATTAATTTTAAAAAGATTGATTGGTCTAAATTTACTGAATTGTGCAATGAAAGATTTTCTTTTAATCCCAATACAGATCCATTACAAAATTATAACAACTTTGTTTCTAAATTAGTTGACATTTTATTGACATTCCGTAAAAAAGTATATCCTTGCCACACCAGAAAACGTAAACCTTTACTGTGGTGGAATGACATATGTAACCAAGTTGTGCTTAGAGCCAAATTGGCATTGAACTCGTTTAAAAAGTATCCCACTATGGAAAATTTCATTTTATACAAGAACTTTGATGCTAATAAAAAAAAAATCCTAACAGAGCAAAAAATATTAGCATGGGCTAACTTATGCTCCTCTTTTAATCGAATGACTCCCACTAAAGTTATTTGGGACTATATTAGGCGATTCAAATTCTCTAAACTAAATTCAACCACTAATACTAATACACTTTTTTTGGATGATCCAGTTAATGCTTTAAACTTTCTCAACAAAATTGCTTCTCGCGACAGCATCGCCATTGATATGCGTGAATTACAAATTTATTTCTTATCTCCTGGTGCTGACTCAGCACAATGGCTCACCTCTAATTTTCAAATGCATGAATTTGATGCTGCTCTCATGTATAAAAAAAATACTTCCCCGGGTCCCGATTTCATTCCTTATTTAGTGATAAAAAAATTACCATCCCAAGCTAAAATCATTCTTCTTAAAATTTTTAATCAATTATGGCTTAATAATTCTATTCCCCCTGTTTGGAAAGATCAACATGTTGTTCCAATTCTTAAACCGTACAAGGATATTCATAGCTTAGATGCATATAGACCCATCTCATTGACATCGTGTTTTTCTAAATGTTTTGAAACTATGATCAAAAATAGGTTAGAATGGTATATTGAAAGCAACAGTTTGATTCCGGAGTTCCAATTTGGTTTCCGCAAAGGGAAATCCACCATGTATAATTTGGGGTGTTTAATAGGTGATATAAAAAGGAATATGAGGCGTAACAAATTCACTCTTGCTGTTTTTTTGGACATCAAAGGCGCATTTGACAATATAAATCATGCATATCTTATCAAGAGTCTCTCTTATCTGGGCATTCCAGGCCCCATTCTATTGTGGATATTTTCATTCTTAAATGGTAGAAATATTTCTTTAAAAATTAAAAATAATCTTTTTGGCTGTAGAACCACAAATAAAGGTACTCCTCAGGGTTCCGTTCTATCACCTTTAATTTTTATATTGAGTCTTGTTAATCTTATGAATCAAATTCCAATGTCTGTGAGATATTCATTTTATGCAGATGACTTAGTAATTTATCTCGAATGCGACAATATATACGTTGGACAAAAAAATATGAACAATTGCCTTTTTACATTACATAATCTATTGTCGACCCAATTAATGTTAGAAGTTAATACAAGTAAAAGTTCAGTCATGCTTTTTGCGGCAAAATGCTCATTTACGCCCAAAATTTATTACAATGACTGTTTGCTTCCAGTCCAATCTAAAGAAAGGTATTTGGGTATTATATTGGATCCTCAATTATCTTGGGAACCACATATTCTACATATCTGCAAAAAGACTGAGTTAGGCTTAAATATCCTTAAATCTCTAGTGGGGTTGAAATGGGGAGCTGATCCCAAGATTTTAAAAGTCTTGTATATTGCTGCCATTCGCAGCCACTTTGACTATGGATGTATGTTTTTTGCCGATGCTGCTAACCATTTACTCAGAAAGCTAGAAGTAATTCAAAATAGAGCTTTGCGAATAATTTCAGGAGCTATGATGTCTTCCCCTATTAATTCCCTTGAGGTAGAAACAGGTGTAGTTCCTCTTATTGTCAGGAGGAGCTTTTTAACTGAGAAGTTTTGTCTTAGATTAGTTAGCTGCGACAATCCTGTAATTTGTAGTTTTTTAGAAGACTATGACATTCCTGACTTTAATACAACTCCTTTAACTGCTACTACGACGCTGAGCCAATCTATTGCATATCTAAATTTTGAATTTCAGAATGCAATTTATTGGTCTCCAAAATTGCCTTGTTTTAACTTCGACTTTCACTGTTTAATTATGGATATATTAGTAAATACATCAAAGTTTAGGAACAAATTTGAATTTTATGAGTTTATAGATGCTAAGAAGGATTACATTAAAGTGTATACAGATGGTTCTAAAACTAAGGATAGGACAAGTTTTGCTTTTTATAATTCTTATTTAAAATGCGGAAGAGTTTTTATTTGTAATAATTTATTTTCTATTTTTTCTGCTGAGGTTTTGGCAATGATTTATGCTATAAACTATATTTTAAATTCTAACTTTAGTAATTCTAAATATTTGATTTTGTCCGATTCTTTGAGTGCACTGTTGTTATTGAAAAATAAGATCATCGATAGCCGTGTTAATTATTTAATTTACTACTTAAGAAATCTAGTTAACGAAATGTGCAATAAAGGTTTCACTATAGAGTTCTGTTGGGTACCGGGACACTCCGGTATATTTGGAAATGAACTAGTCGATAACCTAGCAAAATCGACAGAAAATGTAGACTACTGTGATTTTAAAGTTCCTCATTCAGACTTGGTTTTATGCCTTAAGAAAAATATGATCAAAAGATGGTGTCTCACTCTAAATTTTACAAGAGAAGTTAAAGGAAAGTGGCTTGCCGAGATAGTCCCGGTGCCTTCAACCAAGGCTTGGTTTGAAAGATATCCCACATATATAGGTAGAGATTTTATAACGACTCTAAGCAGACTTCGCATAGGTCATTGTAAGATCCCTGCACATTTATTTAGGTTAAAGTTAAATTGTAACTCGTTATGTACATATTGTTCCCATAATTACTGTGACCTTAATCATTTGTTTTTTGACTGCCCACAATTTTCTTTACAACGTCTGTTACTTATTTCTTTAACTCAAGACCTTCTCCAATATAAAACAATTCCCAGTACTGTACAGGAGTTTTTAAAGCACACAAGTTTATATAACGTAATATTTGAATTTGTAAATAGCACCTTTAAAATAGTGTAAGTTGTTTATATTTAATTTATTTTTTTAAGTTTCATACTGTAGTAGTTAGTTTTTTTTTAAATTACATTCAAAACTCTGTAATAATTATAATAATTAATGTTTAGGCAGATGGCTTTGCCAAAGCCTTAATAAATTAAAAAAAAAAAAAAAAAAAAAAGGAAAAACACTTTGAAAATTATGTTACTTATTTTGTTGAAAAAAGTTTTAGAGTCTCAGTGTAATCATCTGTAAGGATTACGAGTATATTATATCAATATAATATATCAATATAATATGGGATTCGAAAATAACATAAAACTAACGTCATAAGGAAGTTATGGTGATATGGCAATGAAGGTTGAATCCGTTGATCAAAATAATGGAATTAAGGTAGAAGGCGACCTTGGCGATTTGGATATTATTGAGGAATCCAGTGAAGATGAAGTGGACATTGTCAAGGGTGCCAAGAATGTGGGTGGCTTGACCGGAATACCCGCGGGCTTAGTTAGGACGTCTGGTGGGGCAAAACTTAGTAATATAATAGTCTCTGAGCTAGATAGATAGACTCTGAGCATATTCAGTTTGGAAATAATACGTATTTTAATGGTCCCGTAACTATTAAGCAGGTTATACAATCAGCGAATGGTATTGATAATGTTTCCTATGTAAATGGGGATGACGAAAATGAGACAAAACAATACGATGTGGCTGAGGACAAGTGCAGTAAGTTATTATTGATTACCATAAATAGTTTAGTCATTTATGTAATCATATAAAAACTTGTAAATGCATTTATTTCTTCTACAGTAGCACAGACATCAAGTTGCAAATCTAAAACGAAGTTCAAGCTGTCATGTACAAATCTTGTTGATAAACATTTTAAAATAGATTCAATGATTCCTTGTCAACAATGCAAAGAAAACTTTCACTTCACTTGTTTATTATTAAATGAGTAGTCCACTTGCAAACAGCACTATGTGACATTTTTAATGACTTAGGTAATGGTGTGAAATGGGTCAATATTTTAAATAATTTCAAATACTTCAACAATACAATGCCAAAATTTGGTATATTCTAAACAAATCAGTGTCAATTGTTGACTACTTTTGCAAAAGATGCTATCTTTCTTAGTTTTACACTTTAAAAACATGCCCTTTAGTCGTCAACCTGCAAAACTCATGCAAAATTCGTTATTTTGTTTGGTATTTATTATTTTGCCTTCAAGAAGTCCTTCATGTTCATTTATTAAAAATTTGATCATCAAATATTTCGGAGAAGATTGGTATACATACAAAATTCTTGAATTGTGAACTCATATTATCTGACAGGTTCAATCAAATCTGACCAAAGAAGAAGAAACAACAGATAATGAAGATACTTTGATGGTTGATGATGAGGATGTAAGGGTCTAAAGGAAAATTGAAATTAGATTCAAGTTGCATTTTTTACTATTATTATAACAAAATTAGCCATGACATCATAGTGTTGTTGCAAACCTAGCTATGTTAATTTTGAACAATTACAAAACTAGTTATTTAAAGATGCAAATTGCAAAACTCTCTAGTTCAATTTTTAAATGGAAATAACGTAAAAAATTTGATACTGTGATTTTGGTTCTTTATATTCTTTATCCCTTTTATATTACAATTTTCAGATAATTAAATAAGTAGTACTTGAACATCCATTTTCGGAACGGTAATTGTTTTTTTTAGTTTATAGTTTTTTTTATCCATGCACTTCATGCAGTTTGCTAGTGGACTAAAAAAAAGGAGTACAGTTGTTTAGAGTATATACAAATACAATTAAATTAAAAATAAGCAGTAATATATAATAATAGTAATTTTATATATAAATAATAGTATGGTAATAGTATATACTTACATGTTCATCATCATCATTACACTTTTACAGAAAAATCAACTCTAAAACTGTGGCACAAAGTGACAGCACTTGGAGTGATGGTCCTAGCAGGCCTCTGTGTAACCTTTATAGTTGTTCAGCAGGACAGTTCAAGTAACTCTTTACCATCAAAGACACCAGCCGCTGAGACTGAATTACCTACATGTTAATGACTTTCAAGTTTTAAAACACATTTTGATTTTATACAGACTTGCTTAATTTTTACCATTTTTGTATTTATATATTAATTATCAGCCATTGGTGTAACAATATTAGGCAAGACCCCAATCAATTTCAGACCTCAAAAGAATTAAGTTTCTTATCTGGGTTACCTATCAGAAGTCCGAAATGTCGTTTTCCAGAAATAACGTTTGCTCGAATTTACATAACCACAGAAGTGATTTTGAGAGGAAAATGTTTTCTCTTTTAAACCTAACTTAACCTAACCTAAACAAACCTAATCATGTCTTTGCAATAGATATCCCACATATCCTGAAAGAAACAATGTTTTCGTTATAATTTGGTTTTCAGGATAGTAAAAATTCGAACAAATGTTATTTAGGAAAAAATAAATTCCGAGGTTGTGATAGGTTACCCCATTTATGTTTTGGGCCCTGACATTTTGTCAGTTTTGCCATCCTATTATTACGCCATTGGTTTTGCGTACTTTGCTTCCATTTTGGAACTTGGCCCATCAGCAAATGATTCCGCTTGTCTTCTTTTGTTTTGGAAGTTTTGTTAAATTATAAGTTAAATTTATATTTCCATAACCAGCATGGCTTTGATGTGACTGTTGCAGATAGAAAAGTCCATAGGAGAGTGTTTATGTAAAATGAATTGTTCAAAACTACCATTGCTTGGTCTACATAGTTTATAAGCATGATGGATAAGGGAAATACACATTATGACCTGTTCATATTTCAAGTCAACACTTTTTATATAGTCAAAAAATTCTTTAGATGAGTTTCGGTAAAACATTTATCAGCAAAACTTATAGCAAAAGATTACAATGTTTGCTAAACACACAGATTGATTGTTGATTGTCATGCCTTACTGGGCCCATAAGTGTACTTTGTGTACGTAAAGTGATTGTAGAATAGATGGTTTATTCGAATTATGGAGAGTAATATAATCGACACCTCCTACGTAACGTGTCGTATATCGAAATTTCCAAGTTTACAGGGGAGCATTTTAAATTCAAATTCAAATTCAAAATAATCTTTATTTCATAGGTAAGCATTATTACACTTGAAATCGTCACAAAGGTTAAACTCTACCGCTCATTCGTAAGGCAGATTCCCCTGAGAAGAATGAGCAAGAAACTCTAGGGGTTGCTCTTTGTAAATAACATTTACAATATTTATTATTTTTTTATTTGAAACATCAGAGATCGAGACTACCTCCATGAGCTATACGGGTTACTACCACGGATTTTTGTCATCCAAGTACGCAGAAGTTGTATAATAACCTTTAGTATAAAGTTTTTGTTTCACTATAGTTTTAAACCTCGTGAAAGGCATATTTGTATATCAACCGGAATCTTGTTATAGAAGCGTATACATTGCCCCTTAAATGATTTTTTGACTTTGTGAAGACGACTATCAAGAAAAGCTAGTTTATTTTTATTCCTCGTGTTAATGTTATGTCTGTCACTATTTTTCATAAAGAAATTACTATTCCTTTTAACATAAATTACATTTTCATAAATGTACTGTGAGGCTAGTGTAGGAATGTTAATTTCCTTAAACTTATCTCTCAAAGATACTTTGGGGCCCAGATTGTAAATTGCCCTAACTGCATGTTTCTGCAGGACAAAGATTCTATTGATATCGGCGGCATAACCCCAAAGCAAAATGCCGTATGTCATTAGACTGTGAAAGTCGCTGAAGTAAGCCAATCTAGCGGTTTCGACATCTGAAAGTTTCCTTATTTTTTAATCGCGTACACTGCAGAGCCGAGCCGTTTTGATAACTTACTTATATGGGGACCCCATTGCAATTTAGCATCTAACGTTACACCTAGAAATACAACTGTATCCACAAGATTCAATTTTTCGTTTCTAACTACAATGTTTGTAACCATCTCTCTAACATTGGGTAATGTAAATTTCACACAATTTGTTTTTTCTCATTAAGAAGTAGGTTATTAACAGCAAACCAATCAACTACTTTAGATATAGCATTGTTCTCATCGTCGCAGGAACATTGGCGCCTTTTAACTTTAAATAATAAGGAAGTATCATCAGCAAACAATACTATCATGTTTTATACCCTCCATAAGGCTAGGTAAGACATTAATATAAACTAAAAACAAAAATGGGCCTAGAATTGAACCTTGAGGGACACCCATGCTGATTGCAGACCCTGATGGTCTCGTACCGTTAACATCGACCCTCTGTAAAGTTTTGAATTCACTGAAATGAGCATAACACATGACTTTAGCATTTCTCAGTTTTATTCGGCAAAGCTCTTTATTCACATAGAGTGATCTAATAGATCATCTAAGATATCTAGGGTTTTATAATACTCTGTCAGTAACGAGTTTTGCCGATTAAAACTGAGAAATGCTAGTCACGTGTTATGCTCATTTCATTGAATTCAGAACTTTAAGACGCTCCCCTGTAAACATGGTAATTTCGACATACGATACTTTACGTAGGAGGGGTCGAAATTATTGAGAATTGAGATCTGGACAAATTTTTGAGGTGCTAGTGATGGATTATAAATTATCTTCAAAATATTTCAGATCATGTTCTGGTGGTGGAATCGAGCTATGGAAATTGGCTATTGGTGTTGGTGTCCATTATATTAGTTCCTATAACACTACTCCTAATGCATTATTATTCAGTACTAATTAATGGCACGGTCATGATAAGTAATAATGGTCAGATTGAGAGTAGCAATAAAGGTTAGAATATTTAATGATGGAATCTAGAGTTGTACAATATGTAATTAAATTCTGAGCATGTGTAATAAAGGAATGTACTTTATGGAGTTTATAATCGTTTATTACTCATTTTTTATGGATAATAAAGTTTAAAATAAACGAAAACGATAAACATAAAGCTATGGAGTAACTCCTATGTTTTATGTATACAGAATTAAACATTTTTATAAAGCTTGAACTAACTGTATTATCTTATCTGCTATGTGCAATGCGGTATTAATAACATTACTGGTTAATTTATTTTACAGTGGGCAATCAAGTGGTGAAACAAGATCATTTGAGGATGGTTGAAAGAAATGATTGGCTCGCTCAGCCTATAGTGGCTCCCCTTGATCCTCTTGTGTTGCCAGCAGCATGGGTGATTATTACTCATACGGCATCTGAAAGCTGCTACTCTCAGGTACATGTATGTAATATAATAATAATATATCTTTATTCAAAAACACACCTTAGCCTTATTTATAGCACCGAGAAGAAATTTACAGGTTAGAAATGTAAACAAAATAAAATAATATAAAACAAACAGGTAGAGAAGGCGTATCAAATCTAAGGACTCTGGCTCCTAAGCTAGACAAATGTCTGTGTCTTAGGAGACAGTGGTCAATTAGGCGGGACCATAAATATGTGTTTTTTTAAATTTAAAATTTAATTTTTATTTAAAATTTAAAAGTATAAAAATGAGATTGACGATCGTGGTTATACACTTTTAGTGATAGTTATGAGGTAATTGACAAAAAAAAAAAGAATGAATATATAACTATGTTAAGGAAACTCATAACTAGCAGAAAATGCATTCAGAAAAAGAAGTTACAATTTTTTAGAAGTTGAATACTACAATGTATGTACTCTTGTACTAAGTTATTAAAAATATATACCTACCAGCAGTGGTTTTGTCCAGCCCTTCTTTTATTATATTTAGTAATTTTTATTTATTATATATATATATTTATTTTTATTTATTTTAGTAATTAGTCAAATTCTTCTTCATATTATAGCACATTGAGTCAAATTCATTTATGTCAGGCTTAATAAATGTTGCTGTGTTATTTAAAGTTTCCTTTATTTTATCGAAATTGAATTGCGTACTCTATGTTCTTTGCATATATTTTGTTTCAGAGCGAATGTGTCTACCGCGTACGTATAATACAATCATTTCACATCGAGTCGAAGCACTGGTATGATATTGGATACAACTTCTTGATTGGTGGCGACGGCGCTGTATATGTGGGACGCGGGTGGGATTTTATCGGAGCACATACAAAAGGGTATAATAAGTATAGCATAGGAATCGGCTTAATAGGCACTTTTACTGTCGAGTCGCCTACAAAGTATCAACTTGACGCGTGTAAAAAGCTCCTAGCCCTTGGCGTTGAAAATGGCAAGATTGCTAAAGACTACAAGTTATTCCCGCACAGTGCATTTATGTCCACCTTGAGTCCAGGGAAAACTGTCACAGATGTTATTAGCAAATGGCCGCACTATGTTAATGAATCAGAATATAAAGATATATCGGAAATGCTTCCAAATTACTGAAAAAAATATTATTTTTCTCTCAGTACTATAGGTCACGTTATACCAAATGATTAAGTTCGAAAGGTAACTTACGGAATTATGCGTTCTTTGTAATGTATTGTCTTTAAAAACGTTACAACCGCGTTGGTCAATGTATGGAATTCAATCTGTATAAGGTGTGCACGCGTATAGCGTCGCAGCCGTGGAATGCAAAATTACATCCATTGAATGCAACGGGTTTTGCTTGTATTAGTCTAGCGACACACCACGCAAAAAGTATTTTTTAATGAACTGCGTTGCATTACATTGACGGTGAGTCTTAGATGTATCTTTTTGCTAGTGAGTAGCTACACTAAATTTTTTTTATGTTTATACATGTTGCATGTTGTAGTGTCTACGTTTTGACTTTTATCTCATAGCATACAATTGTAACTAAACTTGCTCAGCGAATATTGTAAAGAGACAATTAATGTGTATTGTTCAAATGTTGTTAAGATTAAGAAGTGTGATAAGTATGTATTACGTTGTTATGTCACGTTGTTATGTTTTTATCTAACGTAACATTTGTTACTCAAAATATTCCAAAGTCAGGCTCGTCAAATGTATGTCATACGTAAAAAAATTATAATTATTGTTTATTAATGATAAAAATTTAAATTAACTTATATATAAGTATATAAAAAAAATAACTTATCACAGATGCAAAAAAAACACAATGAATTATTTAAAATATCGATGGACTTACATCGATTATTACATTTATAATTTTTAATCAGAGTGGAATCCAAACTTTTAGAAAAAAGGCCTTTTAGGCGTACTAGAAACGCACCCAGTCCTTATACTTTCAGGTGAGAACATGTCAAATCCTATGTCAAATAATAAGCGAAAAACAGGTTCAGTGCTTTAAAAAATGGGCAAAATTATGTTATCAAAATAATTGCATTTGCATAATATATATAATTAAAAGTATGTATTAGAAAATTATTACGAGATTAAATAAAATAAAATTTTGATAATATACAAGTTTTGTACCTTTTTTAAACACTTGCCATGGTTTTCACTAATTATTTAGAAATAGGCTTTTGCCCATAGTCTCATCTGAAACTATATGGGCTAGGTTACGTTTAGTGCGCTTAGTGCGCTTTAAAGATCTTTTTTCCAAATGTTCCGATTCCAATCTGACCTAAAAATAGTTATCACAATTCGACGTAACCCTACGGACTACGGGACCTTCATATTGCACTTTCTGTATTATTCTAGATTTCTGTCGCTATACATGAAAATCGTTTCGCTTGTTATTAAGGTAGTTTACGAAAATAATAAAAAACTTACCTGCACTGCCTTCCTTATGCGAAAAATTTAGTTATTAACATATCTGGAATTTGCGAAAAAAAAACGCCCTATAAGCGGTTGTTGTATATCTTATTTAGTTTCAGTTTTATTTCTAAGCAAACTCAGCGCAATTGACATTTTTTCAACGAACAAAAAAGGAGGTGCCAATACATGGAAAGTCACTAAATTCAAATGCGTTAGTTATGTCAAGGAGGGCAGTGCGGGTGATTAAGAGAAACAAAAAAAAATATAATTCAATTTAGTTTCAAATAACTATAATAAGTTGTTGTCACTTGGGTGAATAGAATAGAATCATTTATTTAATTTTATCAATTTCATAATATTACAATTTCAAATATATTGTCAAGGGTGTATTCGAATATGATCGTTAAAAAGCCGTGGTAGCCTAATGGTCCGACCTGCCTCTCAAGCAGAGGGTCGCGGGTTCGAATCCGGTCTCGCACCTCTAAGTTTCTCGGAATTCATGTGCGAAATTTAATTTGAAATTTACCATGAGCTTTACCATGAAGCTAAACAGTAATGAAACCTGCATGTCAAAGGGAGTACACAACCCTCGGAAACCTTTGAAGCCCCAAGTCCACACTGGGCCTGGGTCACGGACCATGGCTTAAACCCTTGCCCGAGAGGAGATCCGTACCCAGCAGTAGGACTTGTAAATGGGTGGGTTATTATATATGATCGTTACTAATGTAAGCAACAATAATTAATAAGTGTTTAAGTTTTGTGTTATGGGTGATTGAAGGACACTCGAGTCACCTTTTCATCGCCCAGTAGGGCTAGCACGACAGGGTGCAACTTGCACGAGAGCAATGTAAATGAAGAGTGAAGAAATCCCGCGCTGTATTCGCTCTGGAAGTCGCGCCCTGTCGCTAGCCCTACAGGTTACCTTATAAAATAAAATGAAGACTGTCGTCCTCGGGGTAGTGTTCATCGCTTAATTTCCAATTTCAGTATTCGAGTATATCGACTCATCCGAAGAACAGAGCCTGATGTGATTATATAGCGAAAATAGAATAAGTACGTTATGATAATAATTTCGTTATTCAAATTAAGGCTTATGTAAAGGCGTTTTGAGAATGCATATATTCTTATTTCGTTTCGGAAATATAAAATCGAACAAGAGAAGAAGAACGAACGAAATGTATTACGTCCTGAGAACAAGCAATCTTGCATATAGATCTTTGTTCTACGGATGAGTCGATATCGTGAAATATTATTTAATATTTGAGTATAGAGTCATGAAATGTTATTTTAATAATTCATGATAACATATTTAAATAATAATAAATGCCACAGAAATTAGGTAGACAACACCGAGAATGACAGGCACATGACAGCCATTCATATATAAGGTATATATTTATTTTAGAATTATGTGAAACAATCAGCGAATTAAAATCTTTATAGGTTAATCTTTATACTATTTATACTAAATGCAATCGCTTTTTATACTGAAATCACACATTGTGCCATGTATGAAACAAAAACTCGAATATTCCATCGACGTTTGAATCGTAAAAAGGGCTAAGCGACATTTGTGTTAAAAATGGTAGTAATTTTTACCTAGGTAGTAAATTTTGTGAATAACATAATAGTGTCTAGAGTTACTAATGTAGATCCACCATAACTTAATTTTGTGAAAAAAGTTTAACTGCATTTCCTTATGATGGCCTTTATGATCTTAGCGTCGTTCAGCCCCTTACCTATCAACTGCCGATATATTTTAATTATTGTCACTTTTTAGGGCATTTTTCTTGTCATGCTATGTTGGCTAGCATTAAAGATTTTTAATACCATTTTAGCACGAGTGGGTGGTGCTTGGTCACAATAATAGTTTTGTCAAGTAGGCTACAGTACAAGTACCACAGAAATACGACACTATAAATCTTGTGCAAGTGGTCTTCGTATACCCTCAGAGACAGTCTGTTGTTGCTTTGAGAGGAATTAAGCTGCTCAATATTTTTTTAAATGCCATGATTGCCACAGGAAAAGTGGTTAGTTTGCACCTATCATAAGTAAACAGTTTTTAAGACGAAAACTAATGATAGTCATACAATTCAGCAAAAAAATTGTCTTTAATTATTTGTATAGGCTAAAGCGTATATACTTGCGTCAAACGGTATGACAATTTCCGAAGCTTAGCGAGTTTGCCTTCTTGCATCTAGCGGTTATAAAGTTTTCGTAGGTCATTTTATCTTTATTATTATTGAGTAAAGAAATTTCATTTGCAATGATTGTTTCTCGTGGCGTTCAGAAGTGCGAAACAACAATATACTTTATAGTTTCACTTGTAGATGCGAAAAGCTAGACAGGAAATGGACCCAAAAAGGGGGTCAATGTGTTTAAGTATTCCTTCATGGATTTAAACAACGGTGGTGCTATTTACGACTAATATAAGTTTAATATTTAAATTACCATTGTAGTCATAACCTGACGAAGGCAGTCATAAAGAAAAGAGAATATAAAATTTGTATTATTTTCCCAACATAACAAAATTAACAACGTCGTATGCAGCTGGTGCTGATTATGTGCATGCAATGTGAAAACCATGATTTCTAGGGAAATTAAAAATGATTCTCGTTTTCTACCTTCTTACTCCTTTTGCTCATAACGCCTTTATTCGGGGTGTTGTATATAGTCAAGTCTGAAATGAGTTGCCAAGTATGTATTTATTGAAAAATCGTTGTTTTATATATCTTTTACGTACATTTTTATTGAGCACAGGCACTAAACGGTACAATTTAGGTAATTTGGCCAGACCACTCTGACCATCAATCTGGCCAACGGGAAACATTGAATTTTTTGGTACAAAATTTGTCTAGATTCGTTAAGATACACCCGCTATTCCAACTCTCATTAAATCGTGCTGTATACATCGTATAATGCGTTTGATGATTGTAGATTAAAGTGTTGTTTCCAGTAGAAACCCTGTTTCAATTTATATTGCGGCGGAACAGAATGGAAGCGAATTTTTGTAACGATATTGTACATAGCGTAATGAACTTTATGGTTACTTGTGTAATGTACAAACTAGATACGAGCTAAGAATTACGTCACGCGTCTTCCGCGGATTTCTCGCGCCTTCGCGAGATTTCCGAAAATGCCGTCAGTCGGCTACGCCCGGTGATTCCGCGGAAACTGGCGCGAAGGCAGGCGCAGTGTGACGTCAAACGTCGACGAAATACTATAGCCGCGCGCCTTCACGCGCAGCGAGGCGAAATTGACTCTTCCGTTCAATTCCGTTCCGCCGCAATGTAAATTAAGCCTATAATATTACAGTAGGAGTGCTATATTGAGATTTTGTTTATTATTAATTGTTATAAAGATATTTGGGTTCGGTCCGCTGTTACAAATAAATAATTAATGTAAAAGTAAGGATTTAGGTTTTTATGAAATGGCTCCAATAAATTGATTTAATAATGTATTAAAAAAATTAAAGGACTACCTACCGTAAGGTAATAATGGCAAAGTAGTACCCGTCTCAACTAATATAACCAATTTAATATAGTTATTAAATTGGTTATATTAGTTGAGGTATAAGTTCACGTAGTCGTGAACTTATTAGCGCTAAAGAAATTGTAGAAACCTCTGCCACATGTTTACTTATAAGCCGCTTCATAGTAGGCTTACCTTGGCGGGAAAACGTACAAAATTTCCTGTATAGTTGTTACCAACCGTTGCGTCGTTTTAAGAGCTAGTAAAAAATTATAAACAAAGATGTAACGTTTGCTAATGCGTACCGGAAATTTATAACCGATATGTTACAAGACTGTTACGCGGAGAAACGTCTCTCGCAAAGTTACCATTATACAAAGGGTACCCAGCCGCGCGCCTCTCAACGCTTCTTCTGGTATTTATCCCATTTTGGTGTATACCATCCACGAAAGAAGAAACTCAGAGAAGTGCATGATGCGGCACCTCAGACATATGGCGTAAGCCTAAACTCGGTTATGCGTGAATTTAAAAGCGAATATATAGTACTTCATGTCTTTACGGACGCAAGCGAAGCCGTCTACGCTTGCGTAGTATACTAGACAGTGGACGGAAGCATGAAATTAACTCCCGTTACCGACGAACTAGTCGAGGGCCTCATACAACCCTCTCCTCGCCTGCCGATACCTACCCCGGTAACTGCAGACGCGACTCGCTCAACAGTTGGTTGAGGCTAGTCCGCGCTACGACGCGTACTCATTTAGTTGTAAGCAAGTTTACTCCCATAATTCGTTCACGTGTTTATAATCCATCCCCATCTTTTCATAGTTCTCGTGCTGGCATCCAAACGTTAACGGCGGAAGACTTAACCACTGCAGAAGAGGATATTGTACGGAGGTCTCACTGGATGTCTTTAAAGAAGAATGGCAACAAATCCTGTCTTCACATCCCTTACAGCAGTAAAACTCCTAATATTTAATTTTCATCACAAGAGTGCACACGCCTACAACGGAACTGTGATAAACGAATTTCGTCAATGTTTTGAATTCTACGTTTAAGAACAATCGCCAAGAAATGCTTGTTCGCAGGCTCCGTAAGGCCCAATCTCTGACTCCCGCACTGCGGGCTTATAGTAGGGTAGGTAGTAGGTAGTAACGCATCATCGACGTCTTTTCTCATGTACTGGCTTAGGCTATTTTGGACCCACTTTATATTATTTTGGATTTGGGGAGACGCAAGGAGAAACGTGATGTCGCTCTTTACACGTGCACCCGCGCCGTACACCTGAAAATTGCTCACAGCTTGTCAGCCGACTCCGCGATTATGGGTCGTGAAGCGCTGCATCGCTCGACGTGGCGTTTTATTCCTCCTATTCCGCCATCTTTCGGAGGATACTCGGAACGCTTTGTAAGAAGTGTGAAGACGGTATTAAGGCTTACTTTAGTCGGACAAGCACCTAAATCAGAAATTTTAGAGACTCTTGCTCTCTTCGGCTTCCAAGCCAAAGCGATCGTGAACAGCCGTCTCCTAACACTTGTTCCGAATGGGTGCCAACACCGACGTCGACCACTCACTCCTTTTCATTTTTTGTTAGGCGCTTCATCCAACTAAATCATTTTAGGATTAAAAGACCGTGACCTTGACCTACGCAGGGTAGAGTGGAAGAAACCCATCTGTCGGGGTAACCACTTTTCAAAGCTGAATGAAACACGTCTGAATGTAGGAGTTGGGAATTATCGCCCAACTCTACCCTGGTAGACAGTGAGGTCAGGGTCGCAGACGTAGCGACTCGCGGCGGCACGCTACGTCGTCCTCTTAAGAAATTAATCAGGATGTCCCTCTCACCACATATAGGTGGTATCCTTTTCTCCGCCCGGACGATGTAGCGAATCGCAGCAGTCGCTACAAATCTCTTTGGTATATATTTTATAATCTCTAAGTTTTCGTTTTATATTTAAATTGTAAATTTAAATGTTTATTTTGTTGTGTTAGTGTTTTCTGTTTTGCTTTGATAGCGACAACGTGTTTTCCAAAAATATTAATAAACTGTAAGTACATTCTCTTGACCTTGCTCACTCGTTGTTATCACCCATCCTTTCACCCATTGATACAGTCCGCTACACCTATATTGAACTACAGTTCAGTATAGGATGATCATTACAATAAGAGTTCATAGTAAGGCCCTCCTATTTACGGTAACTTCAACCTCAGATAACACATTAAATTTTGAATAGAAAAAATAATTAAATTTGCTATCTTTACTCTCTAAAATCGCAATAATTGTATGACAGGTTGTTACTTACACAATAAGTAGTATCTCTTATTAGTTTGTACTTACACCGTATACTGTTATATTATTTTTTACAGATGTGTTGTCTAAAGGACATAATGTTACTTTTGCAGCAGTGTCAAGTTAACTTCTAAATTACAGGTTTGGTCGTAATTGTAACTACTACCAACTGAGATATGAGTGTCGCGCCGCGCGCCGCGCGCCGCCGCCGCCGCCGCCGCGTTTTTCCTCGCGCCGCCGTCGCCTTTTTCTTCGCGCCGCCGTCGCCGGCAAATGCAATCGGCGCGTTCTTCAGTTCGATCAGGCACTCTGATCGTACGCACGCACGCTTCCGTATTGTGTTATGTGAAAGTGGCGACGCCAGAAAATGACTTTTCTAAAATAAAACTTTTTTTTATAAAATGCATGTTCGCATTTGACCTGCATCTCACCTGATGGAAAGTGACGATGAGGTCGACGATGGAGCATGCACACCTAAATAATGCCTATTTACTTTCGCTTTGAAAAGACCCGAGTTATAACGTTGAGGGATCAAGTCTGCAGGCAGGGAATTCTACTCCATACCTATTCGCCATAAAAATATGGAATCGTAACGCTTCGTGCGAATCTTTGGAATATCCACAACGTAGAGGTGGAACCCAACCCTAAGCCTAGTCCCCCGGTGATGGAAAGGGGAAAGCGGAATTAAATGGTGTAATTCCATCGCACACTCTCCGTGATATATCGGAAAGTGTGCGATGGAATTACACGCTCTGCTACATTCTAATGATGGCAGCAGTACTCCATGTACGACCGGACTTGTGCTTGGTACAGCTGAAGCAACTGTCTCGGTGTGAAGTAACGCCTCATCCTGGAAAGGATCCCAAGCTTCCTTGCTGCATATTTGGCCATGGATTCTATGTATCTGCCGAAGTAAAAATTGGACGACAGGTTCATTCCAAGTAGCTGTAGACAGTGGGCTATCGGTATGAATATATCACGAAAAGTCGGAGTCAGTTCAAAGGGACTCCGTTTTATGGAGAATACACACGCCTGCGTTTTGATAGCGTTAGATTTGACAAGATTGGCATCACCCCAATCGGAGACTGCCTTGTGTATCACAATCCAAACGGCTGACCATGGACTCTCGACAAGACTGGATTTCCTCTCCACTGACCCTTCCATTGATCAAGTACCTATCTACAACTGTGTTGTCATCAACATACGCAAAGATACCTGGAATTAACATATCATTGAAAAACAGCAGAAAGAAAGTTGCAGATCTATTGCCATATGTTCGGAAGAGTAGTCTTCTAAGACCACTCGAATCGAACGTTCGCTCAAGAAATCCGAGATCAAATTGCAAAGGTCAGAGGACAACCCATAAGAGGGAAGCTTACTTAAAAGTCTTGCGTGCCAGACCCTATCAAAGGCTTTAGAAATGCAAAGAGTGGGGCAAAAAGATTTGCCTCGTCTTCTGCCAGCGTGCCGTCTAGTCTCAGCAGAGGTGGCATATATGGGCGACAAAAATTGGTGACTTTATATTTAAGGATGTTTTGTTTAAAAAATTAATTTGTCCATTTCTGACGTCGCCATTTTCACTATGCATACACAATGCGGAAGCGTGCGCGTGCGTACGATCGGAGCGCCTGATCGAACTGATAAAAATTTGATTACTATAGAAAATACGTTATTTTATTTTATCCTTTGAAAAAGTGTTTTTATAACGGTTTTTATAAAAACAAACATCGTTATGCAAATTCGTTTTAGGATCGTGCTCGCGCCACCGAAACGCCGCCGCCGCCGACACGTTTTCTTCGGCGCGCCGTCGCCGGTTGGTCTATTATCGGCGTTCATATCTGTACCAACTTTATTGAATGAAGAATTGTTACATTTTTTCAAAAACTTATAGGTCAAGAAACACAGAACTCATGACGGTTTTTCTGAGAAAGAAAATGTTTTTTGCTTCTTCAGTAAATTTGCATATTGTTCTTTACGTCATGGTACTGAATTATAGTTACGCATCGTGAGTGGATAAACAGGAATAGGCATGGAAAAGGTTACTTTGTTAGAACTTACGGCTTTTAACACACTCAACTGACGGTACGAACAATTCGTACATCTGTTTAAGAGACACGCCTGTTCATAAGATGTGCTCTGCCACTCAAAAGTTTATATAGCAAAGATCTGAGGGGCACTGCCACTGTGCTCGTCACCCTGAAACAAGTTGAAACGTCCCATGTGCTAGTAGATCAACATGATTATAATTAAAAACTTACAAAATATATATTTCTAGAAGGATTGTAAGGAGCGTACAAAAAAAGATTTCTTTTACGCCTGTGCTTATTTAAGACTTCTTCTTATACGCCTCTAACTTGTTGATTTTAAATTTAGTTGTTTACGTCCTCGAGACTTATTACCTTCTTCCTTCCTATTCTTATGTCTTTTGAAATCTTGGTATTAGATAAAAAAAAAATATTGAGGTGTAAACTGCATTTTTAGAGATACGAAAATTATAAGTAGGTAATTATACAGTTCGATAGAGCTCAAAAAACGAAACGAAACTTGACATTTTGACCTTTACGCCAATGATGGAGTCTAAAGGTAGATATGTGATCATCGCAGCAGAATTTTTTTACCTCTTAAGCCATATTGGAATTAATTATTCATCAAAAGCTGAAGCTCAACGGGCGACGTTTAGTTCTATCAACGTTCAGAAGAACCCAATAATATCCTTAATGAAAAAGATTAGCCCTGCGCAACTTCTTATTCGCAAAGTTATGTTAGAGCTAGTGCAATCTATTCTTCGCTAGTTCAAACTACGTCTTTGTTTTAAGGAATAAATTCTGGACTATTAGGTTGCTAACAGATTGAATGCAAGTTACAGTTAATGCGTGAAGTCGAAATCAACTTCATGCAGCCGAAATCAACTTCATGCAGCCGAGACCACGATTGCATGAAGTTGATTAACGACATCACGCATTAACTGCGTGCAGTCACTCTGGGCTGCATGAAGTCGGGTTAAACTCATCATCATCATCAACCCATTTATAAGAAGCCGTGGTAGCACAATAGTTTAGTAGACCTACTGCTTCTCAAGCAGAGGGTCGTGGGTTCGAATCCGGACGCGCACCTCTGTGTTTCTCCGAGAGAAAGGAGATCCGTGCTCACCAGTGGGACGTATAAACGGTTTTAACTGCCAGCAGTTAATACGTGAACTCGTTGTCAACGTCGTGCAGTCAAGCTCTCGGATAACGACTGTTCAACCAGAAGCTATAAAACTGAAAAATTTTTATGATGCTTGACACAGGGTGTCATCGCGAACGTATATGTGGACTCTGGCACAAGGTAAATATAGGCGGGGTAACTGTAGGACACGCAACTATCAATCTCACACTACGACACGAGGATACAATCTAATTCATTGCGAACGTATATGTGGACTCCGGCACGAGGTAAATATAGCTGGGGTAGGTAACTGAAGGACACGCAACCAGCGATCTAGCTCACACTATTACACGTGGATGCAATCTGATTGGTGACCGCAGGGATTCCCGAACTCCCCGGAAAAGGCCACCTGGATCTCCCCTCCAGTCACCAACCGGCAAGAAGGAGCCTTTGACGTTGGGTTGTGAGGTATCCGTTCACGGGTTGTTTTCCCACTATCTTGGGAATCCAACTTCCTGAGGTCGGCTAGCGGTTCACCGTGACTCGGTTTTCACTATTCACTTTCTAGCTTCTGCGGATGCTCAGTCTGGAGGTACAAATACCTGCAAAGCGATTTGCGACTCTACTGCGTTGGGAAGGTGGTAGCTAGAAGCCGAAGCCTACCACCAGTAGAATAGTCGCTCGCTTAGCACCACTAAATATAATCTACTATAAAGTAAAATGTTTCAAAAATTTGTAAACTAAAAATAACCATTTTGTAGGCATTGAAATAAGGAGCTTGAAAAATGCAAATAACAGTCTCGGAATGTACCACACGCGCTGAACACGCCAGTCGGTTTCAAAGACAGGGCGCCAGGTTTATTTAGCGATACATAATAGATCAACAGATCGGAAAAAATCGCTGATTCCAATAATGCACATAACTATTTTTTTTTTCTATTATATGACATATCGATGCCTTACTTCCTCTAATTTGCATCTTATAAAGAGAGATTATTCAGGAGATGGTAAAACTTTCTATTTTTTAAAATTTCTTATCAAGCGTGTCAATTTGGATGCATTACTCTAAGAATAGGTAAAAGCCAGTGTGTGAGTATGAAGGAAATGTGATGTGAAATCAGCCTGCAAAATTTGTATGTGCAATGATTTTTTTTGCATTTCAGTCACTTTGTGTTTTAAGATACGAGTTTGAGAAAGTAAGACGACGATGTAGGACATTAGGAGATCAAATATTCAAATATTATATTGAAATGAACTTTTGATATCCCAAGGTACGATATGGACTAGGAAAAATACGAACCCGGCACAGCTTTTATATCAGGCATTTCAAAAGTAGACTAAAGAAGATAAAATATGAGGCTTCCCAAAACCGCAATAACCTTCATTTTGTTGTACATATAATACTGCACGCACACACGCACGCACGCACGCAGACACGCACGCACGCACGCAGGCACGCATGTTGATAAAAACTGTAGAAGTAAATAAATAATTATTGTTAAAAACAAACATTTACAGGCTCACTGTGCTGGACTTATACCATCAAACCATCTCAGAGGATACCAGGAGCTCTGGTTCAACTACTGGTGCCTGGTACTGGACTCGTGACATACCTCTATTACGCTGTTGTATTTAAATATTAAAATTTAGCCTGTAAATACACAACGAAGGTGAAATCAATACTAATTGTTTATTAAAATTAACCTGACAGTATTTGACCTTGTTGAAGGATAAATCAATACTGAACTTAGTTATTTTTTTATGTCGCCTACGTTCAATGCATGATCGTATCAGCGCAGTGTTAGACTGTGGTATCAGTGTTCACATCTAAGCTCGGCTAATTGCTGCTTTTGTGAATGATGACATTCACGCTTCTTTTTCAGTCGTGTCGGAACACCAGGTCCGCGTGACTCGTTTATTTACGCACCAACGACAAAATGGTACAGTTCGTGGATAAATCACACGACGTCAGGGGGAAGACAAATTCCGAATACTTTGAAACAAAGCGAAAATGCGGATATTTCAGATCGAAATTCGTGGAGTTTTGTAGGCGTACTGATTTACACGGTTATAAGTACATAGTGATGGAAGAACTTAATGTTTTCGAAAGGTTTGTATCGATCAATTATTGAACGATGCGATATTTTTTCTACTTGCACAAAAAACACCACTGAAAATGCTTAGTCGTCACTACAAATCTAAGTCGCGTATATTAGCCATGATCATGGGACTTATAAAGGGTCCGAAACGTTGGTTGGTTCTTTGAAAAAGGCAAATATACGCGATTTTGTATCGAAACATAGTTTTATTTCCTATGTAGGTGTAAAGATTGTGAAAAATTATGAACTCGAAATACTTAACACCGATATGAATACAAATACTAGGTTTACAGTTTTCAAAATCTTAATTAGTACACAGTAATAGTTATTTGTTATGCAAGTTATGTTGTTTGATGTGAGAGCTTGTATTGTTATAAACCTGAACAAGCGGAGGAACCTAAGATTAAAGTCCTAAATATAGAATCCCTAAAAATAGAATCTTGAGCGTAGCAACGGTTTCAAGAGCGAAACACACAACTTTTCACTTCACTATAGCGAGGAAATGGTAGACGAAAGAAACAGTTGAACTATAATAAATCAGTTTAATCATTGACTTACAAATAAATGGACGACGGGTCTAATACAAAAACCACGAAAAAAATGTCCCAAATCAACCTATTTAAACGTAGTGACATGTAAAGGAATATGAAAAAGCTAAAACGTGGAATTTAAATTGTAATGTCATCGTAGTACTGTTTAATTTTGCTTGCTTCGCTGTCAGTCGAACAAACGAAGACTAAAGCGTGAATGACGCTCTGTATACGATTTTAATGCCCTATAAGTTCGGACACTTTTTAGCGCGGACCCGACGTCCATATAATTGTAAATCAATGGTTTTAATAAACAAAATAGTTAACATTGTCAATTTTATGTCAACAATAATAAGAATAAAATATACCCATTGACTTACAATTAATATACCAACGGATTTATATCACATAAATAATGTACTACAAATCGCGTACTTGAATGTGTTATTATATGTTTTTTTTTCATCGAAAGATTTCCAATGAGAAAGAAGGCCTTTCCGAGCTAGTGAAGTGGAAGAAATGTTTTTCAAAACGTGTTTGATAAATAATGTTTTATTTCATTCAAAAGTTCTTTAGTCGTTGTTGGTTAAAGGATGTTATGTCAATTCGGTGCCGAATAAATTTAAATTTATGGGTATTGCTACATCCACATGTACTTTACTATTGCGTTATATATATTTGTTTCTGTCTCGGTAGGTAATTAATGTGAGATTATAAGAAAATCAACTACTGTTTGGGATCGACACGTGTATAAATATATATTTTTTTAAAACCTAATTTTATTGTACCTTCTTTATTCTGATATCCCTAAGTCCTGTGAAATACTGATTCATAACATTTTTTTAATTGATTTTGAGAATATTTAGGAGAATATATCAGTCATTGTGGGCTTCATTACACGAAGTTAAAATTGAAGTTAAGAATAGGTACACACATCAAATGTTTCTAGGGATAAATTACTTTTGAATTCTCACATGCGTTTGATCCATAGACTTGTTGAGCAGAGTATTTTTTTAAATTAAGTTCACGTATATCCAACCTAGACAAAGAATAGTACAATAGTCTTCATTTGAATTAGAATTATAATACAACATATGTTTTTATTTGACGTGCCTCTATAATAAGGACTAAATTTTATTTTTCAAATGATACAATTTTGTCGAAAATTATGAATTGTTCCTTAGTCTCATACTTATTTATTAGTTCGAAAAATTTTTAATTTTGGTTAATGGTAACAAAGTTTGAGATAGTTTTGTTATGCTAAGTGATCGAGAATTTTGTTCTAAACATTGATACGTTTCTTGTTTTGCTAGGATTGATGGATTTGTATTTTAAACTTACATTTTTATTTTTGACGAGCTGTAGGTATACCTACTTGTGACAAATGATTGAGTTACTAGGTAGGTATATGGCCTTACTTGACATACGATGTTTAACAAAGCCCAAACTAAACTTTCAAATAATTATTAGAACATTAAATACGTAATTTATAAATAGATAAAGTATAATAAATAAACTGTAATATGGAACATAGTTTAGTCATTACAAACCTTTAAACATATAATTGAATTTAAAGTTAAGTGGGACTTGCTAAAGCAAACCAATTAAGTTAAATTAAATTAAGTTTAATGTAAACATTAAACTTAACCTCATTCACTACACATTTGTGTATAATATAGGTATTACACAAAGATAATTTATAGAATCCAAAAAAAGTGTGCAAGGATCCCGTTAGGAATCATGTGGGAGGTAATGCACGTAACTGCTTATTATATTTTTCAGATCATGCTGGGCGATCGCGGTGCTAACGAGTACAATCATAGCTTGTATCCTTGTATTCACAGCATATCAGTGGTACGCAAGAAATCCTATTATTACCGTAAGTATATATCAAACTTTGTCATCCCTCATTAAATTTCCATTGCAGAACTCGCACCTTTGCTATTATAAAGCTACATGTGCACATACATTTTAAGTGATTTTATCACATGAAAATCATAAAAATAATACGAACTTCATGAAACAAATTTAGTGTGTGTGTCAAATTTGAAGTCTTCTATGTAATAATTAAAAAAATATCGACTAACTTCGTCCGTAGAATTGTTAAGCCTCTCTCCTGCATAATGTGGCCTTATAACACGCGTTCCCATGATCGTAACGACAGATATCGAGCAGTTTGAAGTGCCGTGGTTTGTACATTTAAATGAAGTTGTTCACATATAGTAAAACACGTTTGACTGTCGTTCACGACTTTTTGACGTTATGACGACAGACTGTCGTGATCATGTCGTGATAGTGTAACAGAAGAGCTAGAACGACAGTCGTCTGACGATGAATAAAACGTCACAATAAAAATGTGACGACAGATAATCGTAGCTTCAAACGATTCAGTCGTGCAAACGACAAGGCGGCTGCAGTGAACCGATAAATTGTCGTTACGGTCTATTGGGAACAGCTAGACACGACAGACAATCTTTATTACGCGATTGTTAGCGTATCGTGACATTATTTTAATTTATTCTGTTAGAAAACTTACTTTGCGTCATTAAGAATTAGTTTCATCGAAATAAGAAATAAATCGATATCATCATCATCGATATCAACGGAGCGCCAACAGGTGGCCGCCATTACGAAAAGCATCTTTGACTAGAACAGACATGTTTTGTTTTGTTTGGATTTATAGTGAAAGATCTTCTAATATAATTTATAACAGTCACTGGAGTCTCATTTCTATGTCTACTTGGAAAACCTTCTAACACGATGGTTTATTTGAGCGAATGCTTCTAGGCTGATTACTCTACCTATTAGTTTCATTAAAAGGTATTGTAATAAGAATATCCTTGGGGACACAAGCCACGAATTTTAAAATGTATTAAAAAGTAGGAGCTTTTTATTTTGTGTAGTTTGATGAGCATTGATATTTTATTCATAGGTGATAGAGAGCACTCAAGGTGCCATTTGGGATATTCCGTTCCCCGCCGTGACTGTGTGCAATCTGAATATAATCTCGAAGAGGGCTGCCCGCGCTTTAATCAGCAACGTGTTAGTAAGATGTGCTAGTTTTTTATACACCTATAAAGTTGTAGGAATCTGTATCTCTTGTAAATACACGTGCTTTTAGTGCACGTTTCTCTTTTTCAAATATTTTAGTGATTTAGCCTCTCTCATTAAACCCAAGAAGTGCCTCCCTATTGGCGTCATGCGCAGAGTGGGTATTATCATAAGAATAGCCTTTAACCTGTGATGACAAACATGATAAAGAGTTAGCGACGATCTCTGGAAGGTATGAACTTAACTCATTCATTGTTGGGACCGATTATCGGATATATAATAGCAAGTTGGTTTTAACTTTGGGTTTCTAAGTTAAAGGCACAGTTTTACATGTAGATACAGATTTACATTACATGGAGACTATGTAGTGTATTCACACTATATCTGTAAAACAGGCATGGATAATGTAATTTAATTTGAACATAGAAACGGAATAACTCGACTGTATTAGGTATGTCATTGAGATTTCAATAAAATAAATTTCTCAAACTTAATACTCAATAATATTGACATTATTAAACCCAGTACATTACCAGCGAACATGACAGCAGACAACATGTTTGCGGTGCTGCGGCTGGTGCCAATGCTGCATTTCACCTCTAAGATATCCCCACAGCAGTTACAGCAATTACGCAGTCTTCAAACTGTATTGGATCTGAACAACCTATCTGTGGAAATGCTCTTTAGAAATGTAAGTTTCTTTCTTTTCAAGTACCTCATCCTTTGTATATTGTAATTCCATGGTTTTAGAATTAGACGTAACTAAGAATAAAATTGACTAAGTATAAATCGCGTATGCTAATTTCCATGAGAAAACTCTTGTAAAGTCATTGAGTGCAAGGGGGTCGTCCCATCTGTTTATATTAAAACATTTTAAGAAGATATGTTTTCAACTTATGACGTACATCTTTACATCTTTGCTTTACACGACTTGCAGCTTTCATCTGCGGCATCTTGCAATGATCTTCTGGAGAGATGCATGTGGAAGAATACCTTGTACCGTTGTGACTTGCTTTTCCAGCAAGTATTTACCTACTTCAGCCTGTGCTGCACCTTCAACTACTTTGGCGTTGAATCTAGTAAAATGTAAGATATTATAATGTAGCCCGAGTCCACTTAAAAACACTTAATGCGTCCATATATATATATATATGTATATACGGGGCGTGTCGTGGCTATGCCACACGGAGGGGAAGTACCTTAAATACCATAGATAGAAAATTTTTGTGAAAGAAAACTTTGTTTTCATTTTAAAAACAATTCGAACTGCATTCAAAGATTTTTAAATCGCCGGTCTGAATCGAGAATCGAACCCGCTAAATGTGAAAAAACAAATACTTGTAATTTTACTATACTGATCTAAAGCCTCTATCATAAGAATTGTTATCTTCTAAATAATATAGCATCTTATATAAAAGGAACACCCTGATATTTTACATTTAATAAAAAAATAGGAACATTTAACTGCAACTTACTATCAATTTAATTTATCAAATGCTCAAAATGTGTCCCATTCTGTAGAATACAAATTCTCACTCTTTTCATAATTTCGCTTCCTGTTGACTTATTTATCTTTTCATGGCATTGACTTACAAACAAATGGACGACAGGTCTAATACAAACACCACGAAAAAAATGTCCCAAGTTAACCTATTTAAACGTAGTGACATGTAAAGGAATATGAAAAAGCTAAAACGTTGAATTTAAATTGTAATGTCATCGTAGTACTGTCTAATTTTGCTTGCTTCGCTGTCAGTCGAACAAACGAAGACTAAAGCGTGAATGACGCTCTGTATACGGTTTTAACTCCCTATAAGTTCGGACACTTTTAGCGCGGACCCGACGTCCGTATAATTGTAAGTCAATGTTTCATGGTGAATATTAAAATAATACGTCTAAGTTCAGTTTGTAGCTCCTGCACATTCTCATGTCGGTTCCTGTGTATTAAATCTTTTACAGGTTCATTTTAAACCAAATTTCAGATTAAATGTTAAAGTTCATGGTTAAATTTCGGTCTTTGTTGTGTTAAGTTTGCGGGGTGTGCTCATGCTCTTCGGTAGCACAGCTGTTAGTACTATGAGCTCTTGATGAGGAGGCCGATTCCCGATTTGGGCCAATTTAAGAAACGAACTAAGTTGGTTTCTAAGTTGGTTTTGGTCTGAGTATATTTATAGTACAGGAAATTCGGCAGTAATTTGGCATTTTTTCCCCCAAAATACTTCTATTTGGCATCGCTTTCAAGAAAATGGATGTACTCGTAATCTATTACACCTCCGTATATTACCTCCATGCGAAGGCGTGCGGACGCCTCGGGCTTCGCCCTCCGCGGACCTCGGCATACTGTCTCGGCACTTATGACTTTGTTTAAAAAAAAATTTAATAGCTCTTTAATGGCGGCCATATTTAAAAATAGCAAAAATATATTTTGACCGCTAATTATTATCAAACAATCTTAGAAATCTTTTCGTATCAAGATTCAGTGCGAGCAAAGCAACTTTTTTCAACAGCCATTTACATAAAAAATTACGGCTATTTGTACATAAAAAACGACGGAAACAAAATTTTTACCCCAAATTATGATTGAAGCCATGCCATTTTCAGTCGAATTAGAAGAAATTTTTGTCTATTGCCAAAAAAGTTTGTATGGCAGCAATAGTGAAAACTAAATTTTAACCGCTAATTATTATTACACACTCATAGAGATTCCAACGTGTCCATTTTCAATCGAATTAGAGCAAATTTTTATCTGCCGCTAAAAGAGTTTGTATGGCAGCCATATTGAAAAAAAGCGAGAAATAAATTTTGACCGCAAATTATTATCAAAAACCTATGGAGACCCCCACATACCGATTTTCAGTTGAATTAGAGCTAATTTTTATAAACGCTTGTTTGGCGGCCATGTTCAAAAATGGTGAAAAACCAATTTTGATCACAAATTATTGTCAAGCACTCCTAGAGACCCCTATATATATGCTAATTTTCGAAGGGATTTATGCAATTTTTTTTCTGCCGCCAACGAACGCTTCTATGACAGCCATATTTGAAAATGGCGAAAAACAAATTTTGAGTACAAATTATTATCCGCACTTCTAGAGGCCTTCACGTGCCAATTTTCAGCCGAATCAGAGCAAATTTTTTTCGGCAGCTATTTAAAAGAAAAAAAAACACTTATATGGCAGCCATATAAAAATATAGCGAAAAGAAACTTTTGACCCCAAATTATGATTAAGGACTGCTAAAGACCCCCGTGCCAATTTTAGCCGGATCGACGCAAGTTTTTATTCGGCCTTAGGTTGAATTTTTTTAACCTAGGCAGTTGACCAGTGTTACCCTCTATGACATTTCTTCGAGCACGTCCTACCTATCTCTAATAGTTTCCGTGATAGGAGGCTTTGAAATTTGTATGGCGGCCATCTTATTTATTTGAATTTCGAACATTTTGTACTTTCAGCGGAAATTGACCAGGGTGTACCTCATAAAAATGCACAAATATTGTGTCCATTAATAATAATGGACACAATGTTTGTGCAAAACCTATAAAGGTTTTGCAGGCCGTTGATCACTTTTTCATATTTTCCATATTCAGGTCCTCTCATATTTGATTCTTTGCTTTGGAGCCCATCCGCGTACAACGGCATAAATGTTTTTTTTCCCCACCATATTGGGAAGTATACGTTCTATTTCTATCAGTGAGTAAGAACTTGTAGCTTTATATATATATATATAACTAGATGGCGCAAGATAGCCCTATCTTTATATCTTGTGGCAAATTGGGAGTTAAACTTTATATTTCAGTAAAGAATCCCTTTCGGTTGAATTTGAGTGGAAGGGATCTGCGAATATTTAGAAAAGTCAATTGTTTATGGCGGCCATCTTGAATTTGCCACATTGGAAAATTTTTCCAAATCCCAGTAGAACCTGATCAGAGTCATTGACAAATTTTGTTTGAAAGTCCCCCACCCACCCATCTCTCATGCTTTGACCGGGCCGTTTATCACGGAGACTTGGATGTTGCATATTGCGCTGGGCCGCTAAGGCGGCCCGCGAGGCCTATGTGTGAGGCTTGTGACTTTAAATTTAGAAAAGATTTCGTCAGTCGGTTGGTAATTACTTTGGTTTCATTGGTGATTGTTTTAGTTAGGTTTATTTGGGTGGGAGGGAGCCAGGTACTAGGTATAATCGCATCAAGTAGTATCCTTATATACTTTAGAAGAAACTACTCGTATATCATCAATAGTTGCGAAGATTCAGTAAAGTCAATTTTTATTTGGTGGCTTTCTTGGATTCGCCACATTGGAACATTTTTGGTTCCGGTAGAACCTGATCAGGATCTTTGACAGTTTTTGCTCGAAAGCCATACACCCATCTCTGAAGCTTTGGCCGGGCAGCTGGTGTCCTACCTGATGCAGACCACGTCTTGAATGTTTTGGGTTTTTGGTATTCAAAATTCGCAGTTAACACAATCCTTGTACATTTATTTAAAACACCTTCATTCGTTCTAGGAGAACAACGATGTTGGACGGTGGAAAGTGTACGGCGGCCATATTGCAAAATGGCGTGATCATAAAATCACAAACACAATTTCGTATTGTGGGTCTGTACTATACAAGGCCAAGTGCCAAATTTCAGCACGATCGGAGTTTTTTGGCTGGCCGCCATCTTGAATCATTCAAGGACATTTAAAAAAAATTGACAGCCGATTGGCTCCCATCGCCCACTCAGACATTAGTTTGAACATAATTTACCTATCTCATAGTTTCGGAGACATAGTCCCCCAAAATTTTATTTATATTTTGTTTTTCGAATTTAAAATATTTTTCAATGCCTGTAAACACTGCCTAGGGTGTGGAGTAACATTTGTTTGGAGACCTTAGGGTTAAGACGTATACTTTGACCGGGTAGCTGGGGTCCTATCCGATGCGGAGCACTTTTCGGAGGCTTTGGTACTTTCTGATACTCACCAAATCTACCCAACTATTATTCGCATATGTGACTCTTATACATCCGCTCTTCTTCTGGGAAAAAAAATGCTGGTCAAACAACTGAAAATTCACTTGTACGGCGGTCATCTTGGAAAATCGCGGAATCCAAATTTTGTTCGCAGATACATACTATGAACCTCCATACACGATCGGATGTCAGATTTCGGTTTGGAGTAAGTACTCCAAATTCAAAATCAAAATCGCGGAAATAAACTTTTATTTCGGGCCGCGATTTTGAATTCGCCATCTTGAATTTTTTTTTACCTGCAGTTGGATCGTACTATTCTGTATAACACTTGTTTGAACACCTCTAATCTATCTTCAATACTCGCCGAGACGAAGGCCTCGTAACATAGGGGACCGTGGACGGGCGGCCATCCAGGATAGGCCGTTTTGAAAAAATAATTTCTACAGCCAGGTAGATCCTGTCGCTCTCTACAATATTCGTTCGAATACGATCTACCTATCTCCAATAGGTACTGAGATACCGGCCCCCGAAATTTGTAATGCGACCGTTTTATTTTTCGAATTTCTAATTTTTTTCGCTCCCGGTAAAAAATGCCCAGGGTGTGGATAAACATTTATTTGTTAATCGCCGGGCTGCTGGGGACCCACCTGATGCTGAGCACTTTCCGAAGATTACGGTACCTTTTGAAACTCACCAACCCCATTCGACTACTACTCCCGTACATCATTTTTACCGTCTCGCCCTCCTTCTGGGAGAAAAATGACGCCAAAGGGCAGAAAATTCACATGTATGGCGGCCATCTTGGAAAATGGCAGAATCAAAATTTCAATCGCATATTCGTATTGCGGGCCCCCATACACGGCCGCATGCCAAATTTTATTTGGATCGGATCACTTTTTTTTGAGCAGCCATTTTGGGTCGGCCATCTTGAAAAATTTTTATCAACGGCAGTTGGCCCCCGCCGCCCTCTATGACATTTGGTCGAGCTAAATCTCCAATACTTGTCGAGCTATAAGGCTCAGAAGTTTGTATGGCGGCCATCTTGTTTTTTCGAATTTCGAATTTTTTTCACTTCCGGTAGAAACTGCCCAAGATGGCGGGTCAATTTTAGTTCCACGACCCTTCCCTTAGGTATTATACTTTCGCCGCGCAGCTGGGTATCTACCTGATGCAGTCCACTTTTCGAAGGTTTCGGATTTTTCAGGTACTTCATTTTGACCCACCGCGACTCCTTCTGGGAGAACAAATTATCTAAGTGACTACATCAGTCAGTCAGTCAGTCAGTGTTAATCGAGCTTTATAGAGTATAATAATGATCGTCGTATCAACATGCTCGTCATGTGAATTTAATTGAATGTCAAGCGACGCCGACTGTCGCGATGCGCGTGATTCAGATTTGGGACTTTTTCGTTTACGTCAGACGGATTACGGAGTTGTAAACTCTTGTTCACATTTGAGAATGCACACGATTTCCTTGGTTTTTATTAATAGGATAACATTAGCTACATTTTACTCATCAAACTTTAACAAATGTATGAGGCACACTTTGTTACTATACTTTGCCTACATTTTAAAACGTTATAGCGTTTGTTTAAACATTGTTTATGCTTATGTAATTCGGATATGTTTGTGGACTTTATGCATGCAGGGTTCGGGAAGCGTTTCAAGCGGAGATGCCGCGACGAGTGGCGTCGTGTGGTTACCAGACTGCCCTTACCATCCTTGTCAACCCTAACGTTGAAGACTACTACAGTGCAGCCATCGCTTCACAAGGAACTCTAGTGCGTATTTAATTATGCTTATCCCTTTACCGGAATATAACCCGGAGGTTACAGGTAATCCAGGACAATAGGTAGCTTCAAAGCGCAATAATCATATAATACAATATGTGAAACAAAGGTATTCCTTGCTAGTAGTAGGCCCTTATAGTTCAATCATCGACACCGCGTCAATGTCGCCTACAAATAAATATTGCCGACACGATAGGTATGTACCTTCGAACGCCCATTTTTCATCAGATATGTCAAGTTACCCGTTCATCACCGTAATTAATCAATGTAAAGTATATAAGCGGATTTTATCGAGTTATCTACTGTATGAGGCAATTGACCTTTAGCAGTAGGAACGGACGTAAGCAGTTTAAGGTGTGTGTCTCAAAATGTTTTAAGCTTTTAAAATGCATACATGTATTATATCAGTGTTTTGATTTATTGTCATTGTTTTAAAGTTAAGCTTTTCAAGCGCTGTTTTATTTAACTATGATTTTTGTTTTCGTTGTATTATATTTTGATAACAGACCAATGTGCTGTGTAATCTTTGATAATTGTCATTAGCAAATACTGTGTATTGTATAATGTGCAGGCGGTAGTAGGAGCGCTGAGGTCCATAACATATACTATTATGTATTATGTCTGTGTATAATGGTGAAAAGGCAGGTATACGGATACGGCTCCAATTTTAGGACCTCACCAATTGACACACATTAAATTGATTAATAAGCATTAAATTATAAATATATAACTAGTAACTATACCATTCTCGTTCAGGTGATGACATATTCGCGACACTTAGTAATTACCTAGTCGCCAAAAAACAAACTATTAATAAGACGCTTTGCCGATGCAACACTAGTGTGAAGAAGGTCAATATCGACTTGCTTGGACAATACTTATATTGTTGCTATTACCTCCCACGCTTAGTTCAAAGAGGCCAGAGGTACGCACAGAAGTTAATTAAACCAAAGGGTCTTTGTAGGGGCTCCAAGAGAAATCTTGGACACGAGTTCCGGGGAGTCCACGGCACCAAAAGCAATTTTTCGTAAAAATACTAGGTCTGCAACTTGACGTCGCACCTCCTGTGGCAAAAGCTGATGATTCTTACATAATATATATCAATATACTGGTTTGACTCGTACCGCTCCCAAGTTTGAGAACATAAAAACTTAATAAATATTTGCATGTTTTCAACTCCCGACATATAGGTAAGGTATTGGGGGCTGATTCCAGACAGATTCCAGGTGACAGGCGGACGAATGAGCAATATAAAATTTTTAGTGTATTGGCGCCTGTCTGAAATCGTTATCGTGATGTTTTCCATCAATGAAGAGCTCATGATAGACATGATAAACTAAATTTCGCACATAAATTCCGAGAAACTCAGAGGTGCGAGCCCGGGTTCGAACCCGCGACCTCTGCTTGAGAAGCGGTAGGTCAAATCGTTAGGCTACCCACGGCTTGTCATTGTGGTGCGAAAATACTATACTAATCAGTGTTAACATTGAATGGAGTAAATAGTGTTTTTTGAATTATGTGGTTAATTATTTATTTATGTAGGTGTGAGTTTTGGCGACATGAGGCATAAGGCCATTAAGGTCCTACCATTGTTTTTTTCGTCAGTGAAACCACTGGACCACGGAGGTAATTAAACAAAATCTGAAATCTGCGAAACTGGATCTATATGCGGTTTTTTAAATATCAGTTTTATTGTTAAGCAAAACAGCGCAACTGATAATTTAAAGAAAAATACTTTAGGAGCCAATATCTCTAAAGTGCAAATGCAATGGTTTGCACTGAGGTCCATAATTGACAGGACAGGACAACATTATTGTTGTTAATTTATTGTTATCGCGTCACTAATCTAACGCCTATGCATTCGCGAACTGCTAATATAGACTCTAATATGCTTTTACTCTATTAGGTATTCATCGACAATGCGTACAACGTGCCGGACATTGATTCTCCTGTCCGATTGGTGAATCCGTCTACAGAAGTCCTCATCGCTTTGTCTCCAGAGAGGACATACTCTACTCCCGGCGTAAAGTGGTTTACGCCTGAAGAACGGCAATGCTATTACAACGACGAGGTAAAATTAAACTCGCATGCCTTTAATAATTATAGATAAGTCTATTCCTTTGCTGAATTTTATGGCTTACTGAAGAAACTTTAGCGCTGAAACGCAACATGAAGTAAAAATAAACAAGTTTTATCAAGGACACTTGTTTCAATTCGCGAAAAATATTTGTTTCTACATCCAAATCATGTCAGTTTGTCCCTCCGAACAATAAATACAGTAGAAGTGCTTACAGGGCGGGGCACGTATGTCAACAGAACGCGCAGTTCCACATACTTGAGCTCAGTGCGCCATTTTCGCTTTGTACGTTGTGGTCTTGTCAATTATCTCACCCAAAACCTCGATAATCGTAGAAATATGCCTTATTTTGCAACTTTGGAGTGCAAAAATTATAGTCGTACCTGTAATATTACATTTATTGTCTGTGTGTCATATCATCGTTACGTCTTGTTTTATTTAATTTTAATAAATTTTGTATTTTCTGCTTATCATAATAGATTTTTAGTTTTAAGAAATGAAAGTAAACCTTATACCGCTGCAATAATGGTCGAATTTTTTTTGGACAATTAACTAACGCCTATTAATTATTAAATACTAGGCTGTAATCGTTTGTCTTTCAGCTATTGCCGCAAGATTAATGAAATTTTATTTATATAATCTCAGTACACAGTACTAAAAAAACCGACCTTAAAAGTACGTGGAATTACGTCTATTTGCTAAGTTTTATTGAAATATCTCCTAGTTCGCCACTATACAGGACTTGACACTGCAGATAATAAAAATCGGTTCTCACTACTCAAAGTATATTGAGAGAAAACGCCTTGAATTGGAGAAATAGCAAAATCAACCATTAAAGTAATTGCTCCTAAATTAAAGTTAGGCGCTATTTATAAAAATGAAACTTCATGCGTGAGCACCCCTTCGAGGTGGATGATTTTCTTCAAAATGAAATGGGACCACTATGGAAGTACCCCCTTTCCACCAAAAAAAGAATCATGAAAATCGGTCCACAAATACCGGAGTTATCGCGTAACATACATACAAAAAAAGAACATACCGTCGAATTGAGACCCTCCTCCTTTTTTGAAGTCGGTTATAAATTAGAACATCGTAAGTTGCAATAAAATATAATAAGATTATTTATTGTATAGGAAAGTGAACAAGAAGTAACAACAATAGTAGTTATACGTTACGGTTACAAAGTTTAAAGGTAGATTATACGCCATACTTAAACGTTACGTGTGCGTTAAAAAAGAAAAAGTAAAAATATTAATTCCTACGTTACAATAAGATTTTAAATAAATGTTTTTTTTATTCTTCATTTATTTAGGGGCTTTCATCGTTATTTAACGTATCGTGGTACAAAACATATCAGACCGAATTTTGAATAAAATATATTTTCATTTGATTTTAAATAGATTGTTGTATTTTTTGGTAACTCCATTTATAGGAGCACTTAAACCCAAATTTGTGATAGGAATATGGTTTATTGGAACATAATTAAGGGAAGGACTGTTTCGTTTACAAATTGTTAAGTTAATTTTTTGCAAAACTTGTGGAGAATATGTTGCATTATTTATAATTTTATGTAAGAAGCATAAATCAAACGTAAGTCTGCAGTATTCAACTTGCAACGATATACCAACGCTATAATATTTAAATTATACTTATTAACAGTCCAGAATTTCTCGCATCTTTTTAAAATAGATATTACGACCAGTAATTATCAAGATTTCATAATATGTAGCGACATTATGTAAGTGTGAGTTTTGGACACATGATGCATAAGGCCATTAAGGTCCTACCATTGTTTTTTCTTCAGTGAAACCACTCGACCACGGAGGTAATTAAACAAAATCTGAAATTTGCAAAACTGGTCCTGTAAACGGTTTTTTAAATATCAGTTTTATTGTTAAGCAAAACAGCGCAATTGATAGTTTAAAGAAAAATACTTTAGGAGCCAATATCTCTAAAGTTACCAAAGTGCAAATGCAATGGATTGTACAACTGTTTACATAGTGTCGACATTTCTGAGGTCCTGGCATAGATCCCCGGCCGCGTCAATCTAGAAAAACTAACTTTTCTATAACGTATCGGGTCTGGGTAGTTTGTGGTGAGTATCGTCGTTGTTTCCATTTTATATAACACAAGCGCTTTAGTTACTTACTTTGTGATCCGAGCAACGTATATGGTGTTGTCTATTACATATTTTTAAGTGTTAAGTTTATAACTCAATTTCGCTAAAAATCGTTGATTGTGTTAGTTACGATAAGTAGGGCAGAACTTCTTGTCATATCTGGACCCTGTAACCTTGTTCTCTGTCCGAAATCCCTCCTAAACAATTACTGTGAAATATATATTATTCGACTAAATTAAAAGACGCATGATGCGAATGAGTCTTCATAATTCCCATTGGCTTTTAATTTGGTCGTGTATTACTTATTTGACAGAAATTGTTTCGGACGGAGAACGAGAGTAGACCACCAGGACCCCGATTCAGAACTCTTAGATATCTTAACCGAATCGTTCGATTGGACATCGTTCTCTAATCGAAGGGCGCTTTCCGAGCTATTCAGAACATTCGAGTTAAACGTTCGATTCGGATTCGGATACGACATCTTTATCCAACAGCGTTTACGGAGTTAGTCGGTGAAATATGTAGATTATAAGAAAAATGAAAATCCTTTTACATACAATTTTAAGACTTTAAAGGCGTAGAATATAGGAATGCCTTAGTCTTGCATTAAAATAAATTAAAAATCCAAATTTCATTTAAAATAATAACAGATTTCCGTATTATATTCTTGCTTTGTAAACAATAGAACGTTCGGTAACTTTCATTCGATAACTGTGTTCTGAATATCGTTTGTGGCCTTTGCCGGTCGAGAAGTTCGAGTAATCGTACGGGTGGGACGTCATTTCGGTTCGGGTTCGAATACGAGTTTGACGTTCGATTCGGGTGTTGTGTTATCGTAAGGTTCTGAATTGACCCCCGGTTCGAAAACGGCATAAGATTGTGCTGTAGTGGTCATCCACCTACGTGCTTGTTCATTCTATTGTATCCAATATAACTGATTTCTATGTGAGAGAGTCTGTAAATCATCGTGTGTCATGTATGGTGATGATCACATATACCCTTTTAGGAAGTTATAGACGATATTTTCAAGCCGTAGTTTCTAATTTGAAGAACCAGCCAGTACATCTATATTATAGACAGATAGGTTCAGTTAGTAAATTTTCTGCTTCAAGCAACAAACGGTCACTTTTGGTGTTTTATTTTTTCTTTTAGGTGAAGCTAGGCACATTACGGCAATACTCGTTCCACAACTGCGTTGTGTACCAGCGCATCGAAATTGTGCAGACGGTTTGTGGATGCATCCCGTATTACTTCCCAGTGAAAGGTAGTTAATCACTTACAATGTTTTGTTCATAATCATGCAATACCTATCCTTAACGTCGTTGGTATTCCGAAAGATGTGATAGACGTCAAACATCGAATATATAACCACAAATAGAGAATAAATAAGGGCCATCCATCCTTGCAACTCATCAGGAAAATAGCACTTATATCACTTTTAAATATCAACTCACGTTTGCACTGAAATCACAAATTAGAAAGCTGAAATAGTACAGCGTCAATAACTGACCTGTATGTACGTCTCCGTATATTCCAAAAATATTCTGTATTTATTGTAATAAAGATAATATCTATAACTATGGGGGCTGTTCCATTCGGGTTGTAGGAACACATTTCATCGGTTATTAAAAAGTAATTCTTTAATTTTCGTCCATTATAGCAAAGCTCAAGGTAAACTGGTCAATTTGAAGTAAAACAATTGACGACACCCGTCAATTGTTTCGAATTCGGACTGGCCAATCGGAGCGCAGTAATGATTTGGCAGGATAATTTTCAAACAAATTAAATGACATTTCGTCGCTGTTTCTGAATAAAATACTCGATGACGACAAACAGACAGTGCATTTCGAGCGGGGCGATACGTAGTACCTGACACCAGATTGCGCCACACATCGCCGAGAAGTGCAATTCAAGTAGATAATTAGATTTACTGGATATGAAACTGTATTTCCGGATTTAAATGACGTATATTTGTGTTTTCAGAGTCAACGTTGACTGTAGTTAATCGTGACCACGGGACCTGTGAAGGACCCGAAACGTTGGTTTGTTTGAAAACACAAATGTACGTGATTTAAATCCGGAAAAATAGTTTCATTTCCCATGTGTAACAATCTCGAAAACCTAAGAACTCGATAATTACATTTAGTTTTCATATTATTTATCATATGTATGTTAATCCTTAAGTTGTATATTATATACGCCATATGTTGCCTGACTCATATAAATAAATAATAAAAAAAATTAATAAAAAAAATTAGGGAATGTCATATTCGTTAGGTTTGCGTATATTTTTAAAACTATTATAATTAGGTATTACTGGGTATTAGGTTCTAATATTAATTGGATTTCTTACAGAGCTGTGCGCAATAGCGATGCAACAGACCTCTGCTTCGTAGTGTAGTATAGTATTGACACTTTTCCGCACCCGCTTCCGTTTATTTAAGATTTGTTTTTGACATCCGTTTTCGTTTCTGTTTTCGTTATGACACTTTCGATGCATCACATTATGCGAACAATCTAGCGGGGATGAACTAGTTATAGTGCAGCACACGCGGACCACAAATTGCGCTGCGCTGTACTGCGACGTTAGCAGTAAATTTTGTACAATTCCATAGAAACCAGTTGTATCATCTTCTGTGGTCGGTATCTGCCGTCAGATATCTACGGTTGTCATGTGCTGCGTGTACTGATTTTTAATCAATGATTGTCTTCATTAGGCATTCTATCATTAGTTAATCTACTTAGATTAAATTTATATTTTGCGCACTTACTTATCTGAGTTTTTATTGCAGATTTCTATCGGACTTGCAACTTCAATGACATTGATTGTCTCCAATCTCTTATAGGTGAGTTGTGATTTTTAATATATTGACGAACCCATAAAAATGCCAGAGTTCTAAGTATCGAATTAGTGTCATGATGGTGTGGAAATTACAAGGCCTACCGCTTAAGTGAGTCGGTTCCTGAGGTAGCTGCACGGTGCGGGAGAAGTGATCACTCATGTGCTGTAGCGCTCCTTGTGAAAGAGTACATCCAGGGTAGTACTGCTACCTTAGATAACCATTTCTACCGCCAAGTGGTAACGTGAGCATTATTGCGTTTCGGTTTTGAAGGGTAAGGGTGCTGGTGAAATTACAGGCACATGGAACATGTCTACTTATGTTCCAGGATGAGTGGCGCAGTGTCAGGGCCCCTGAGTTCTTTCCGATTTAAAGCTCTGAGTGGCACTGCAACTGTTATGGACAGGCGTGTCCCTTAACACCAGGCGCGCGATTTGTCGTTCCGGCGCTTGGTATTATAAAAAATAGTTTATGTCAGTTATATCGCACTGCACGCGGGATAAAATCAACAAGATTATTCTAACGATAACCAATAGCAAGTTGATTGAAAAGTGCCTACCATATTAGTCAATTGTTATTAAACGAAACTATAAAAAAAAACTATTTCATTGATAATTGAAATAAATTGACAAGCCATTTGACACTTTGTTCAATCAAATTGTGTTGAATATCGTCAGAAATGTCTTGTTGATATTATCTCGTGTGCAGCGCGATATAACTGTTACGTAAAGTCTCAGTTCCCCGCACCGCGCAGCTACCTCAGGAACCGACTCAGTTAAGCGGTAGGTTTTGTAGAACGATAGGAGAAAGTGTATTATTTATTATAATGAATGTCATGATATTTTTACTACCTTGAAATTCATATAGTTTTATATTTGTTTACTTTGAGGTCTTTGTATATACATATATTATTGATACAAAGGCCCCAAAGAAAAATGCCTTCGATCTGATTGGACTCAAACCAGTGTCAGAACGCTTAAACGGGGCTACCCTCTTTCAACCGAAAGTGTATTATTTACATACATATGTAAAATTATTCTATTCTACTGGGAATAAATTTCCAAACCGTCAAACTTGAGTTATAGATAATAGTCGAAGCAAGTCGCTAATCGGTTATGAAATAAATGTTATGTTGGGAGTCAACATTGTTGTTAATTTATATATCATAGATACGTATGTGCTAACGATCATTGTATGAAATCAGTTGATAAAACAGCTAAGCTACTAGATTACGATCAACAAAATTAATTTATGAAAATAAAGTTGTTTACTTAACGAATTTCGTACATTAGTAGGTAAAAAAATCTTTAACAGATAAATTTGTCTTTCTAAGACAGAATTTGGAGCAACGCGTTGTCTTGGAGAATACTCGCGTTTCGCTTTCGATTTTTAAATATACTTACTCTTTTGCTATTTGTTTTTCTTTTAATGTGTGTATCTTTCACGTTCAAGATTGAATACCTTTTTTCTTGAAGTAGTTGCAAAGACGTTTAGAAAATATGTTAAGAAAAAAATTAAAGTTGGTGAAATGTTGCGACAATTGTTCTCTCTAGATATACCTATTTAGATATACTTACTTGTCTTTTATGGGGTCTGGTCTCTGGAGACCTGAACAGTATTGTATGTGCCAAGGCAGGAGTACGCCTCGGGGCGCTTTTGATTCGATATTACGGCGAAGAGAAAGTAAACATGCTACGGATATAATGTCGGAACAACTGTTTAAAATGACGAGGACTATTCTTCACTTCAGCTTCACTGAAAACCAGCGAAAACCAGGGAAAACACCTCATTAAGTGTTTTCCCACCATATTACGAAAAGGAGAGGCGGGTAAAATTTTAAAATGCATGTTTATTTTAAAAACTTATCAATTACATACATCTAAACTACTTATAACACCTAGATACTGGGGCATCGTGCCCAGAAGGCTAACAAACTTTGAATTATTAACCTAACTTAAACTTGAATTGCTAAACTTATTCTTTGGCGGAAATAGCTGCCAGCCTTGTGGTTACCGCAGGCTTCTACGAAACGATCCGATAGGTCGTTCGCTAGAAGTTTCGCTTGTGGCCCCTAGAGACACAGAGTTTCAACTGCAAAAGGCACAAAGACTAGCACTGGGCAAGGTTGGCGTATTTGAGCCTTTTGCGGCCCACGCTACATTTTAAATGTAATTATTTTATTTTGTATTTTATCCTAAGGTTTATTTTATTTTTTGTTACCATTTAGTCATCTATATTTTGTCATAAGGTTACTAAACTATTTGTTTTCCTTTCTGACTATTTGGTTAGATGGTTTGGCTAGGCTTTCAAAATAAAAAAGAATGTTTTATAGGTGCCTTCCTATTTATCTAAATCGAATCTCATGAGTGTTTGTTTCACAAACTTGCATTAAGTAGTTGTACAAAGTGACACCAAGTCCTTACTTAGGTCACCAAAATAAACTCTGGGCCTCAAATCGGCACATTTCAAATCGTCTCAGTTATACGTCGATAGAGTGTCAATGGCTGGATTTTATGCGTTTGGTATTCTTCTAAAAGTTCTAAAAGTCATTGCTCTTAGCAGTTACTTGTCAGTGCTAGCCGTCGAGCTAGTGTTCAACCTCTATTGCATTTTTGTGGCATTCTGTTCTTCAATGGCGAAACGATGGCACGTCTACGGCGTAGTCTAGTAATTATTTGACATAAAAATAATACATTTATATGTAAAGTAATTTCCATGATAGTTTTGTTATGGCAACATCAATCGTTAGTGATTGAATGAATGAATGCCATCACTGCCACTCCACTGACACTATTGAGATTGACTCAACTGCCATTGTAACGTAATTTTGGTAGAATAACAAATATTACCGTAATTGCTGGTGACGCGTAATGCACCAGTCTCTCACAAAACAGTCTGACAAATTTTTAGATTTGTATTAACCTTCATTTCATTTAATTTCATTGCAATATAATCTCATTGGAGTCTCAATAGGATTGCAATGACAAAATTTTACATATGTGAAGTTTAGATGTGCCCAGTTATATACCCCTGGGTATTTTACATCCCTAAAACCTACCTAAAATATGTCGGCTGTAATCGATGCGGTAGTTACGACTGTACTCCGATGGCACCCTGGCTGCTTGCCAGCTGTACTAGTAGTCGACAGTCGCGATGCACTTGATACGGTTGCACTCCGACGGCATTCTCTCTAGCTGCAAGCCAACTGCATTAGTAGGTACAAAGCAGTTGTATTCCTGCGCTGTACTGTATTCCATATGATTTCGCAGTTACAGTGCAGTCAAACTGAGTTACAATCGTAGTAGATTGATAGATAAAAACTTTATTCCCTTTCAAGATAGCTTATTTGCATAGGATCCACTAAAACGAATACCACAATTAATATTATATTGAACCACTTAAAAATAACAAATTTTTATAACAAAAGGTACGTATAACTAATTAAACTAAATACTAATGCATGTAATAATGGCAGTGAGTGTCCCACGACGCTATCGTTTAACCAAATAAAGATTATGTATATATTTTTACTTTATTAGAAAATATGTCTCTTTATGTGTGTGTGCGGGCGCGCGCGCTTGAATATGTGCGTATTTGCGTTTATATCAACATTTTATGTTACAAAATAGTCATAACCAAATTTCGAAATGTACCTATGTATTTATGTTGAGATTATGTAAAATAACTTGCTATTTTATGTGTGTATACGTGTGTATTACTTATGAACATCCCTGTCATTAAATATCGTCACAAAAAAGTTCTCAAGTAAACGTAAACGTGTACAAATATACCATATAATTAAATAAATAAATAGTCGAAAACGCAACAGGTTTCTGACCTAGGGGAGAGCGGGGCTGAACGTTCCGATTTTTAAATTACTTGCAGTGTTATACTGAAAATGAAGGATTTAATTTTCAACATGTGGAAATGTTTAACAAATGTTTATCGCTTTTTGTAATAGTATAGTCACTTCTACTAATATCTCAATAGTCTTATTCATAGAGGCAAATTTTTGACAAATTTCAGAGCCGAACAATTAGCCCCGCTTTGAGACGCGTTGTTCCGCCTTTGAGGCAAATTGTCCCGCCTAAATTATGACAGAATAACAAGGATTTTCTTAAATAAAACGATATTTTATAAATGTATGTATGTAATGTTTATATTATGCACAACTAACTTAAAAAAAAACAACTACATTCTTATTCATCAGTAGTATTATTCATCGCTCATTTCTTCATCTGAATCACAGTTGAGACATAAATAAGTGACTCTATTATCTTGTCTAAATATTTGACATTAGCCCGTTTGTAGTTTGGCATAATTAAAACAAAGAAAAATGGTCATCAAAATTTTAAGTATGATTGCAGGTCAGTTGGGGAAGTTGTTCCTAGGAACAACCAGCCCCTCGAGAGAGGAGCTTATAGCCCCAAATTACGATTTTATACGAAGACTGACATACAGGCAACGTAATAGAATCAATCAAAAAAATACTCAAACAATAACATTCCTTACTAATGTCACTACAATTTAGAAAAGTTACGTATGAGTCGGCCCATAATACACAAAGGCAGAGCAAAAAATTTAAACAAGAAAAAATTTACTTACGTCATATTTTGCTTCCATACTTCCGTCGTCGCCGGAGTAACTGAAATGGTTGCCGGCAAGTCGCATCACCTGACAGTTTAACGACGCGCTTCACATGTATTGCTACATATTTTCCTTGCAAAGTTATTTCTGTGAGAACAATAAGTTGTTGTCACAGCAATAACTTTACTTAACCCGAGGTAAGCCCCGGGAACTACCAGGGTCCCGGCCCCTACAGCCACAATTTCTGTACATTTAATAAGTGTTCTTTCACTTTTTTCTTGAACTTGTTTTTTTGAGAGTTGAGTATAGTTTGTGTGACTGCGTATGTCTTACTTCTACGCGGTATCGTCTTCGATATTGATAATTTGAAAATGAACTTGTTATAAGCTCCTTTCAAAACGTCATCAGATGCGTATAAC